AAGAAAAGGAAGAAAGGGGAGGGAAAGATTTATATTGGAAGGAAAGGGAAAGTTATTATAATAGGAATGGATGGGGTGTAGAAAGAGTTAAGGAAGGAATGGAAGGAGGGTGGGATATGGAGGGAGAGATAGTAAAAAGAGAAAGAGACGTGCAAAAACAGTGGATAGAAAGTAAGATTAGGGAGGCAAAGTATAATAAAAGGTATAAAGATATAAGGAAGATAGGGGAGGGACATAAGTATTTGGAAAAGAGCAGTTTGATAAGGATGGGAGCAAAGGCGGGGGGAGAAGTGAGAGCGCTTATTAAGTTAAGGTGTGGTAATCTGGAGTTAAAAAATAAGTATTGGTTAGAGGAGGAAGAGAGAAGGTGTGTAATGTGTGGGAAGGAGCAGGATAAGATGTATCATTATATGTATACATGTGAGTGGGGAATGAGATGGTTCGAGGAGATGGATAGTATGGAAGGTAGAGGAAAAGAAAGGATATGGGATGATGAAATCGATGAGATTAAAGGGAAAGTATTAAAAAGAATGTGGAGAGAAAGGGAGGGTAAAATCAAAGAGAAAGATAGAGAAGGAGAAAAAGAAAAAGAAAAAGGATAAAGTGAAAAGGGGTAAAGGAAAGAATAAAGAGAGAGGAGAATTTAATGTGATATAGATATAGAAAGTATGGAAGAATGGAAAGGATGAAAGAATGGAGGATGCGTGGAATGTGTGAGGTAGTTGTTTAATGTAAACCAAGTCCCCTTCTTGGCTATTTAATGTATATAGCTGAATGGTAAATAAATTATATATTTATATAATCAACAATTTTATTCCGAAAGAACATTATACATAGGAAAGAAATATTAAACATTACAATAAAACTTATAATTACCTGTGACAGAAGAATGAAGAACTACATTTTCAAAATAATTCCTTATTTTAAGATGTGCTTCTCCGATATGGTGTATTGGCCAGACATCGTTGTCATTGTTATTAAATAGAGCATTCCATATATAAAATATATCCATTATTTTATATATATATATATATATATATATATATATATATATATATA